TAGGCCGCCGCAATGGTACTTATCATACTCGATTGTGTAAATTCATTCGGGCTCGCTGTCGATCTCTGTCAGCAGCCACTGTTGGAATATCAAGCCGCTACGCAGACTCGGCATTGATAGTGTGGTGGCGGCGGGCTCGGACATCGGACGTTTGCCACACCGGACAGCCACCACGACGCCGCCAGTGATACAGTGACTAACCCACAAGCGAAACAACACGTGAGAGCGAAACGCGGGGTAGTTTCGCTACTTTGAGGTCACCCACAGATTCAAAATTTTGGGAGCGGAATTTGATTCATTTGCATTCGTGTTTGCGGCATTTGTCCGATGTGATACATGTGAGTCCATACGATGCTCTCTTTCAGTGTGGAGTCATGGGAGTGAGGTTTTCAAAGTCTTTGATTATGAATATAGTCACCCGGAATGCTCAAGTTCGACGGATGAGGCACAATCGCCGATCTTTCAGCGTTTCGCTCTCACGTTGGCCAAATTTAGCCTCCCGACAAAATGCGCTCGTTCTCAACGAAAACAGAACTGAATCGCATGAACCTTTCTGCTGGCCAGTACCACGGAAGCATATCTATTCACCCATAAAAAAGCTTTGACCAAAATCCGTCCGTGTGGTGCGCGAAAGGGCCCCCTCCTTGAGTGTTTCGCTCGTGGGTAAGCCACTGTAATCTATTTCCTTTCATTCCCCTTGTAGAATAAAAGCCCCAGCAAATTACTCCAGCACCTCAGACATTTTTCTACGCTCTTGTGCAACGGCTGAGGTGAGTTTCATTCTTCCAGAGTTACATTTCTTCCTTCGCCTAGCTATCTGTTATTATCTAGGTGAATATAGATGTTGTTCTACACTCTTGTGCAGCGGTTGAGCTATCACTGCATTCCGACCCCCGTAGTCACAGGTCTGACTTGCATGTCCTAGTGGGGTTACCTCCACCGATCCCAGTAGGGCTCGTAACCTTGCTTTAGTAAGGTCCCCCTCCCTCAAAATTAAGTCGCCGAAATCTGCCAGAAACAAATATTTGCGTCTTCGTTAGATTCCCGAACTGCCTTCTGTCTGCCAGGAACAAACAAGTCCAAATACTCGGGGTTCGCTGAACCTGAAAACTCTTGATCTGCCAGGAACAAATAGATCCAAATACTGTAGTATCTCCATCCCTCAAAACCCTCGAGCTCAGGCTGTCAACACACTGCAATTGGATGACGAACAATCCACCAGTATACCATTTTTCAAGTTTTTGCCTGGGTCAACACAATTGGTTAGACACTTCCCGGGACCCGCCCAAGCAAGGTTTGAGACGGCAGGGCCGGCCCCTCGTAGTCAGGGTGTCTGACATCCATGTCCTACCCCATTGGGTCATGCCCTGACTACGTGCACGTGGCTATACCTTCGTCGATCCCCGTAGTCCTACCTTGCCTTGACGTTGTCTACTTGGTCTATGGACTCGGCCTCGACTACATCCCTATTTGACCTTGCCGCTGTTTTCTTTTTCAGGGTCCTGGTGATGCCGCAAAGTGGTTACGACGGAAATGAGAAGAGGTGAGGTCAGCGATCACGGCTTGCCGACTGATCCGAGGCCCGAACAGGTGCAAATTCAATTTAAGCGATGTTCAACTCTTTTTCCACTCCCAGCAGTGATGGTAGGACGCGCCACTGTTACCAGGCACAGAGTGGTTGGGCAAGAGCATAATCATAGGAAACCCACCTATGTCTACACCAGTAGGCAGGCTCAGACGTAGGTAGACCAAGGCCGACCCAGGTAGGCAGATGTAGGCGCAACATCGACAGACCTTGCCTACGGGCCTACACTCACGTAGTCAGACATCTCTGACTACCCTGACTACAGAAGCAGTCACACCCTCTGACTATGGAGGGTTGGAACGCAGTGTATCTATTATTATATAGCGATCAGCACTGTCGTTTTCTAACAACCAGCCCCTTCATGAATCACTTCGCGGCGTCGTGTCTTCAACAAGTTGAACCAACAGGCCGAGGTTGGTTTTGATATCGGTTACGGCTGTCAATCTCTGTCAGCTGACAGCAGCCACCTTCATCAGGCTTCATGAAACACTTTTTTGTGTTATCCTTCAGGGTCTCCCCCTTCACCAAACAGCTCTACCAATAGCCCATGGCGAGCCCCGCCAATGGAACTGGCGATAATACCGCAGCCACTGGGGGATTCCTTGCATCTTTCAGTTTCAGCAATAATCTCGTCGAAATCAGCGCGCTCACGGCACTGATCGGCTCGAGCGTCGCTGAATCCCTCATATTGGGAAATCGCATGGGCCGCGACGAGCGCGTTTGGCACCATCTCGGTCGTAAAGGCATGCTTTTGCGGCGCCAACGGTGGGTGGTTGCGCGAGACGCTGGGGATCCGCACGACGTCATCTGATTTGGCGGTGGGGCTGGAACTCCCGCACGATTCCGCCCTGGCGGCCAAGGTTCGACGGAATATTGGAGAGCCGTTGGCGATATTCTGTCATGCAACGCCGGTACGTTCCTGGTTCAAGGATGAGAAGGGGGAGAGCGACCGACTCCGTCTCGCAGGATGCAACTGGCACCGGCAAAGGCCCCAAATCACACAAGAGGAAAGTGGGATGGAGCGACGTCTACGCGTTGGATCATTCCACTTCCCTTATGCTCCGACGTGTTCCAGACACGGCCGTTGGGAGCCCGCTCCAGGTGTTCACCTACGGAAACTACACCTTCTTCCGGCCATATAGCCGGTTCCAAGTACCCGCCATCATGCTGTCTTCCGCTAAATTAGTGGAAGTATATATTCTCTGGACGCACGGTTCCTTCATTCTGGGGATCGCGTCGGCCACCCCGTGGGCCTTTTTCTTCCTCGGCGCAGGAGTAATGCAGGTCCAAGAAATACTGCTGGGTCGGCATCCTGAGCCCGAGATGGGCACTTTGGATATCATCGCGGGGCACCTTCCGATGGTGAGCCGTCAGGGCGGGCGACGGAAGGTCATATTAGGTGCTGCTGAGAATCCAAAAACGTCCGTGCTTTGGGGGATTTTCTGGGCCACCGGCGCGTTGGTATCGACGGCATCCATCATACTATCCTACATCATCATGGCCGAGCAACCGCGCTCCGTAGTGTTCATCTGGGCGGGGTTCCAGCTCCTCTGGCTCACAGTCCGCATCCTTATCTACCACCTCGCCGATCCAGCGAACCCCATGGCCTTGCGGATACTAGTAGTGCGACCGTTGCCCAGTCTTCCCGCCCAGCTCAAGGAGCGCGTCATCGACCTGACCTTCGCGTTGGCCCAGTGCCAGAGCATGATCCATCCGCGCGGGCAGCCCCAATACGCCGACGACACGTTTTCCACTAGCGAGCTGACGCTGGTCTCGGATGGGATCAAGCCCCCCAACTTGTACCCCCTACCTGACGTCCACCCACACTCTTTTCCCGTCGAGATCAAGGCTGTTTTCGGAGACACGGCGCTGTCCAGCGCGATGTGGATTACAGGGTCAAATGCGACGCCGATGGATCTGTACGACAGCTGCATCGTCGTATTTTCGATTCGCCAATCGAACCACGCCGCATCGCCGCGCCGGTCTGTCGCGGTTCCCGCCGCACGAGTTCTAAGTGACCCCATGACAAAGTTCGACGCGGAGAACATCATGTCCACCTATGTTCCGAAAGGCGCGCCGAATGGGGGGTCCGGGTTGATATGGTGGTACTGGATCCCGTGCCGGATGGGTCTTTGGCTGCAGATTCAGGTTCCGGTGCGGGCGAAGACATCGGGTATCCACCAGGCGGACGTGCGCACTGACGCCCAGGTTTCTGCCTTGCTTGCTGCGGGAACACTGAATATTGGGCTGAGGGATGTTGACGAAGTGAAGGGCGTCGTGGCTTTGTCTAGGAAGGCGCGAGAGGCATGCCTGGAACTTCTCAGCTGACGGACAGCAAGTAAATATTAATATATCTAGTCATATATTTTGGGTTTTGTTTTTTTAATGGGGCGGGAGTGGAGTCGCGAGTCTTTCGGGGCCCGAGCATAGAACGCCTGCGGCGCCCGAAGGGGAGACTCGCGCGTGCGCGAGAGAGCTCGCTGATGCTCGCGGGAAGGGACTGCCTGCGGCGCCCGAAGGCCCGCTCGCAGGGCCCTTCGGGCCCTGCTCGCGAAAAGAGGACCACGCACTCACTTGCTAACACTCCCAATCCCGCCCTTTCTCATCATGCTCATCGCCTGCCATGCCTTCTTTCCGCGTGTGCCGACGACGACGGAACGCGCGTGCTGCGCGTGCGCGCGTACCCGGCGTTCTTGACCTGCAGCGTGAACGAGAACATGGACGCCGCGGGGTTCTCGAACGTGTCGAACGAGACCTTGGGCGTGTACCCCGGCGCGGTGGGCGAGAAGATGTGCGACAGGTGCGGCGAGGGCGAGGGGAGCGGCGGGGACGATGCGAGGACGGGGGAGATGAGCGAAGTGGGCGACGCGGAGCGGCTCGTGAGCGGTGGGCTCGAGGTGTGCTTCAGCGCTGAGCGCAGGGTTCCCGAGTCGCGGTGCATGTTGGAGTAGACGGGCGGACTGTGCATGGGCTCGGAGGACATGATGGGCGGGAGATCTAGATGATCGGCGCAGGGCCTAGGCGCTTCAAGCTTCGGGCGGAGATCCAATTCATTTTTTACCTCCAAACTTTTAGCTCTGCACGGTCTGGGTCCGTCTGGATTGTCTGCTTGCTCTTTGGTCGACATCTGACCAGAGAGTTACCCGGTTTCAAGTTATGCGGCTGCCATTGACACACATTCAAGTTGTCATTTGGTCCTTCCACTCAACGTCCACTAAGCGAGCGAGACTACAGCGTATCTGCGTTCCGAAGTGTTCTCCAGGGAAACTACCCAGCGAGTTTGCGGTCTTTCAAGCTTCAAGCCTCACGTCATCCCCTGTCGGTTTTTCGTAAAGAATCCAATCTTTCCGGCAAGTTGTCTTCAGTTTACATAGCTCCTTGGTAGCTTATGTTGAGAAGGAGTATAAGGAGGGATGGCCTGGTAGCGCAACGGTTAGTGCATCTGCTGTACTTATGTGTTATTTTGTAGACCTTCAGCAGAAGGTCGTTCGACTCGGAGTTCAGGTCATATATCCTCGTCGGTATCTTTTTTTACTTGAGTCGAACTGAGGTGGAAGCACTTCCGGGAGGTTTCAATCTTTTTCAGGTCACCAATGGTCTCTGATATTATGGCCAGCGGTCTTTTGGCTTCGCACTTGGCAGTCCTTGAAAACCGGAGATCTAGGTTCGGCTCCCTATCGCGCCTCTGCGTTCTTTTTCCTTTTCCTCGATTTCCTCTCAGCTCATAATTTGCCTCTCGAGAAGCAGTCTGTCAACTTCGCGCTGTGTCAGACATCTTTCGTAAAGAATTCAACCTTTCGGTGAGTTGTCTTCAGTCTAGCTCCTCGGTACCTTACTTTGATAAAGGATGGATGGAGGGACGACCTGATAGCACAATGGTTAGTGCGTCTGCTGTATTTGTATGCTATTCTCACTCCTTCAGTAGAAAGTCCCTCGTTCGACTCGGGGTCAGGTCATTTATGGAGAGGGTTGTTTTTATTTTACATATCCTGCGCTGACTCGAACTGAAGTGGTCTTCCGGAGCGTTCAGCCCCTCCGCCATCTTTCCGGTCCCACATATTGTCGCCGCCCGGGTTGGGCTCCCGTCTTTTTTCCTTTTCCCAGAATATTACTCTCCTCGGGACCTCTAGATATATTATGCTTTTCAAAGAGTTCGTGGCCCTCACGCCGGGTGCAGGCTCACGATGGATCTCGATATTCTGGTGCTCCGGGATGAGAACTCGGACGTCGTGCACACCCGCTCTTCTTGCCTCTTGAAGAACCTGAAGCCTAGGCTCGACTCCCAGCGTCCGAATACTCATGCGCGTCTTCGTATTTTTAGCCTTCAATTAATTTTTAGTCTCACTAATCCTCTGCATAGACTTGGTTCGGTTCCCTTCCACCGTACGCCGCAGGCTTCAACTAATGTTCCGACATTTATTTGACTCCCGTCCGGCATGGTTGCAGATGATGCTCCATTAATTATTATTATTTTGGCTCTTCCATTTAAGATCGCATTTAGTGAGGTGCAGAAGGAGGATGGAAACTTCGACGTGGTGCACGGTGCACACCTGCTCTCGATGCGTAGGCGGGAGCTCTGGTTCGATTCCCAGCGTCCGAATTTCAGATGGGTCTTCGTTTTTTTTTTAAGCCTTCAATCAATTTTACTCTCACTAATCTTCTGCGCAGACTTGGTTCGGTTCCCCTCCACCACGCCCATCTGGCATTTATATGCAAGACCGTCGACACCCCGAAAAATCTCGCACATTTAGTGAGGTGCAGAAGGAGGATGGAAACTCGGACGTAGTGCACTGTGCACACTCGCGCTACAATGTATGTAGGCGGGAGCTCTGGGTTCGATCCCCAACGTCCGAATATTCATCGGCGTTTCATATTTTTAGCCTTCAATCAATTTTACTCTCACTAATCCTCTGCGCAGACTCGTTTTTTTCCCATCCTCCGTACAACGTACACCGATGTTGCAACATTTATCTGACGCCGATCTGGCATCTATATGCAAACCCACACCCTAAAAATCTCGCGCGTTTAATGAGGTGCAGGACGAGGATGAGAAACTCGGCCGCGGTGCACGGTGCACACCCGCGCTCCGTAGTGTACAATGTGTGTAGGCGGGAGCTCTGGGTTCGATACCCAGCGTCCGAATACTCATGCGCGTCTTCGTATTTTTTTTTGGCCTTCAATCAACTTCCTCTCACTAATCCTCTGCGCAGACCCGTTTCCCGTCCTCCGTACGGTGTAGGCTTAAACTAATGTTCCGACATTTATTTGACGCCCGTCCGGCATGATTGAAGATGATGTTCAATTTTTTTCCCTTTGGCTCTTCTATTCACAGTTCAAGGCTCATATATAATTTCAACGATTGGCGTGCAGGGTGCTCTAAAAATGCCGCGCATAGAAAGTATTTAGTTGCAAGCTCCTTCGACGCGCTTCTAAGATATTACCCTGAGTCTTACGAGTTATCCCGCCGTTTCGTTGAATATTACTCGTGGAGCTTCGCTTCAACCTCAAAGTTGGATCACAGCGTATGGGATCAAATTTCGCTAAATAATCATAGTCCCAAGGAATTTCAGTGGATCTTGGTGTGCAGTCTATATTTTTCTGCAAGTCCCAAGTTGGCAGCGCAAAGTTGATATTCCGAAGTCTGAAGCCGGATTGATCTCGGCATGCTCGGCAAATCAACGACAGGATTATTCCCACAACATTTAAATATTACTTTGGGCCTCCCGGCTGCCTGAGAGGACAGTCAAGGCACTCTAAATAAGCTTATATTTACTCTCTGTTGTGAAATACATCAGACACAGGAACTGTGTCCACCAGATGTCTCCCTTTTATTGTGTTTGATGCTACATTTCTCGAGTCTGGGCCCAGTCTGCAGCAGGATTGATGAAACATCGGCCCCTGTGTGCCCGATTGGCCTTCATGTTGAATCACCATCAATTATCTTGAGCGCAATCCAGGATCTCTCTGTTCTGCAACTCTGATCCGGGGTTGGCTATCTATAACCTGAATTCCTCGCAGAGGTAACAAAAAAATGTACCTATCTACCTGGACCCAAATTTTGGGACTCCCAAGAAGACCTCAAATGATTCTTTTCTGAATATGAGGTTTTAAATAGGGCAAAAGTTCCCATTTGGGCAGTTGGCAAAGACACGGGCCGAGATCAAACCGCGATCGAGAGTACAGACTTGCAACTACAGTCTACAGCAAAACTTCCGACTTCCGACTAGTATTAAATAACGAAAAATAATCCCATAACAGCGACTTCGTCTGTACGCAGGATGCGATTCACAACTTCAACCACCGTGTTGTATAATGTGAACATGTGCATGCTACTCACCGCAGAAGTATTTAGTCGGGCGCTCCCTTGACGTATTACTCAATTTTGGCTGGTATGGATAAATTCAAGTTGATTTCGAGTTTCAAGGGTCGAGAAAGACCTGGAGGGAACGCGGTCTATTTCGTTTTTGCGGTCGATTTCAGAGTCAAGTTAGTAATGGCCTGCATGCTTCGAACCGGGACCAGTCTCTGAGTCTTATTTCATGTCCTTGAATATATTATCTCTCTCTTTATAAAATTAGGGCTGTCTGTCCGAAAACTTCCAAACTCCGATTTTGGCTCATCAGCCTTGAGACCGGAGAATATCAGCTTTAAACTTCGGAAGAGTTGAAACGCTGCGCAGCACGTGACAGTCGCGTCGCGTCTTCCGGGCTGGCTTCAAATTGAGGATTTCCTGCCGGCATGAAACATATCAAGAGAGGAGCAACTCTCACCCAAATAAAATAAAACTCCTTTGCTATTCTATACTCTATATTGGCACGCCCTCCTTCATTCAAACCAACATTTAAACCTACTGTTATGATATCTGAGTCTCAGGCTGTCCTCAATCCTAGGTGTCCGTTGGACATTGAAGAGATAAGCTGCAGGCAGACCTCAGAAATTCGGAAAGGAGAGGACGGACCACGGAGCGGTCCGTCCTCTGCTTCAAGTTGTCAGGATTAAAAAGAGAAATAATGGAACTGTGTTCCATGTTGTCCGAAACTCTGAGGAATTGCTGATGCCAAGGAGTCTTGAGGTTAAATTAGGCTATTTATAAAGTTCAGCTCTTCAGGGAATTATAGCGGGCTGTGCCGCTTGTCGGCCTTACCCGCTTTATCAAAGCTGCCCTTTGGGCATACCACCACCATGGCAACTCGGATGTCGCCATACCCAGCGGTGTCCCTAGTGATCTGAAGCACGACGGTGACACAGAGGCTGTGCGGCGGGCGGGTACAAAATGCGCACCTCTCATGTAACGGCGCCAGCGAACTTCAACTTGAAAATTTACGACCCTTGACGACCTTGACGACCTGCCCTTCAAACACGCATAACGGGCCAACCATATTCGTCACTTACTACCAGTTACAAACTCGACTATTTCCTCCACGCCCCCTTCGAGCACAAAATGCATCACCGCGACGACCTGTTACTGCCACCAATCCTCGACGTTCCCTGTTTGGCAAGCCCTTCAAGCTCTACAATGACCTCGAGCGCCTCGTTGAACTCCTCAATATCAGCTGCACTTCTTCGGGCGCGCTGCGGTTTCAACCTGACCATCCAAACAACTCTGGATCCGAATCCGAACCGCCCCGTAACCATCGAAGCGAAGGGACACCTCGAACCGCATATTTCAAAACTTCCACGCAGACGACGGAGAGGCGATGGGAATCATGAAGCCATTCATATTGTAACGGAGAAGGAATAGATTTTTCAACGGTGTTTGAAGTCGTATAAATGGCACAAAATGTGGTTTCGGAATGGACCGGAAAATAAAGGAAATAAAGCTTAAAACATGTCCTCGAGCTTCCGCGTTATTGAAAACCCTCTCGGTCGTAATAGGCGAATTCTAGACGAATTCCCCAAGAATTCCTTTTTTGGTTGTGGGTGTTGTTTATTTGTGCGTACTTGGATTTGATGGTCACAACAGCGTCACTATCTTGTTCAAAACTTCCACGTTGTTTTGACACACTCCACCGACTTACGTCGTCTTCGCCTGCGGGACGTACCAGAATTTAATGAAGCCCGACATGCCCGACGCTGCGCATTATTCACCGTCGCCGCACTAACCTTGAGGGCCGAGGCGTATGCAACCAAAGGCCCAAAAAGATTTTGACAACTCTGGCCGGGATGACGTGGCTCCATGCGACTCCTCCACGACAGACAATGACAAGTTCGGGGAAGTTCGGGCTCATTCATCCTCCGAGCTGCGCGCCCATGTGCTCCCCATTCAATCGCACTTCGCGTCGACTCACTTCAAGTTCGAACGGCGTCCGACGGCGTCGGTGTTCCTGGGAGGGACATCATTTACGCATCGTAAGCAAGCGACTTATATCGAGCGTGCTCTGCATCCCGCCGTGCGTTTCAGTCAGCCGCTGAAAAGTTTTTAGATGAACTCGGGGAGAACATACCTATATGAAAAAGTTCACGGAAGTTCACGGTGAACCTGGTGAACTTGGTGAACTCGGTGAACTACCCCGTGAACCCGTTATATAAGCCTGTCAGCCTGTATTTCCTATGTGATGCATCGCGCTACACGTTACCTGTCACTCTCTGCCAGCCGCCACACTCGCCGGTATGTATCGCGCTTTCTACACCATTGTGAGTCCCGCCTAGTCTCAAAGTCTATGACATCACCAAAATTGTCCGACGCCTGAAAGGCCCCCGTGACCTCGGCAAGTGCCGACGTGCCTTGACGTGACTTTGCAAGGCCCTTTAAAGGCACTCCAAGGCTCACCTCATCTTGACAAGCGTCTGCCCGCCAGCTGTTCCTCCTGTCAATGCTTCGTCTGCTCTACTGTCTGTAAGTGCCTCAATCTTGCTCAGTCGACATCAAATTGATTCCACCCCGCATGCACCATCTACTCTCCTTTCCTGTTTATTGTCCCTCTCGTGAGCGCTCATTTACATCGGGTTTCGACTT